TTCCAAGGTTCTCTCAAGGAGTGTATCTTCTCTCTGAGATGTGCTTTGGTCATCCCGAATCAGGAGGTGCTGGTCCATTTAATAGGATGCTCTCTTTTTTCCCCCAAGGACTCTACAGAAAACCCAGTCTGTCAGCCCTGCCTAGGCCAGTGGTGAGATTAGGAGGGAATGTGACCCTCCAGTGTGTCTCACAGCTTGGATATGATGGGTTTGCTCTGACTAAGGAGGAACCACAGAAGTTCTCTTGGACCCTAGACTCACAGTACATATACTCTAATGGCAGTTTCCAGGCACTGTTCTCTGTGGGGCCTGTGACCTCCAGACAGCGGAGGACATTCAGATGCTATGGCTATTACCTGAGTAAACCCCAGGTGTGGTCAGAACCCAGTGACCCTCTGGAGTTCCTGGTGTCAGGTAAGGCAGCCCAGTTTGTCTATTGAAAGATATTGCCTCTGAAAAGAATCTAGGAGATCCAGGGCTCTCAATCCAGTTGACACAGAGCATGAAGACAAAAGGACCCAAGATACAGAAACTAAGGGAGGGAGGGCAGTAAGAGTGAAACATGGGTGTCTAGAAGATATATGGGTCTTCATGTGACTCCAGTGTTCCTTCTGCTATTCTGGATCAACTCAGTGATCTCCATATTAGCATGTAATAAATGAATAGGTATGTATATGATACATGCATTATATGTGATTTTATGTATGTATAATAATGATAATCTCATGAGAGAAAACATGGTGTTAATCTTTCTGTGTCTCATTTACTTGGTTTAGTGTTTTGATCTTTATTTGCACCCAGTTTTTTACAATTTTTCTGCACAAAGAATTCTTTCCTTCAATAAATATATTTAAAATTTCATGGTAATTTATATATTTATGCATATACATATAATGCTATATTTATGTTCCCATGTATTCATAATTACATAACTACATCTACAATATTATATGGTTTTATGTATATGTATAAATTTAACTTTTTTGGTGGTTTCATATGAGTTTGTACTGAAATCATTTCTACACACTTTCTTCTTTTTCTTACTCTGTTTCTTTCATTCCTTCTTATATTTGACCTGT